TAGGCAAAATTCTTCCTACCTGTTCTTTGACCCTTCTACTCACTTTTCCATTCAAATTTTAAGCAGCATTAGAGAATGTCTTTGTACTATCATGCATAAAGTAAATCTTTGCAAAATTCTTGGAGATAGAAGTGTATCCCAGGTGATCCCCAAAGATAGATCTTATTTCTCCATGGTCATAATAACTGTCCAAAAGAAAGAAAGAACTAAAGAAACTATGAGGAAATTTTGGCTAGAGAATGTGTATTTTTTTCACAGGAATCTCGCAGCTCAGCCCAACCATTGGTGGAAAAATATTTAAAGATGATAGAACAAATTTCAAAATGTATGAGAAAAATGGCTCAAATTAGAGAAGCATAGACATAAGAAGGTAAAGAAAACATCTCTTCCTTTTCAACGCTAGCATAGCCAAATATTCGTCTTTGTAGGTTGCCCAGTTTCAACAGGGGTGGGCAGGGGAGAATAAATCTGGGTTTGATATTTTGTGCCCTAGACTACAAAGAAATCACCATGAATATAAATAAAAGACAGCTGGGTTGAGGTTTCAGATCACCTACACCCATCAGAAAGGCAGCCAGACTTGCAGCACTCGGCTCTTTTGTTAGATACCTGGACTAACACTCAGCTCTATGGATACTTGAAAGGCAAAGAAAGACAGAGCAGAATTATGTGATATTAAAAGACTTAAATCACCTGCATCACCATAGAAACAGCAAAGAAAATGTCAAAGCCCTGAGGGAGGGTTTTCTTTACCTTTGGTTTCAATGTCTGTAAAGGTGTGTGAAAGAGAAGGAGGAGTTCCTGCCTGGGGAAACCACAAGCCTGTCTCAATATCTACAAGACCCTGGAAGAGGAAGAAGTGAACAAATGACTATAGCACGTGCAAGCCCGGCTGCGAGTGCAGTCGGGGCAGTAATTGGCTCTATTGATGCTCCTCTGATTAGCTCGTTTTGGCTACAGCACTCGTCAGAATCATGCTGAGTTCATGGGGAAAAACAAGGAATCTACTGCACAGAGGAACGTCTCAGATGAGCTTTTTGATGCCTATGGAGAAAGAGCAAACACTGATCTCAAGATGCAGACTCTGAGGAGGATTTCTAAATCCTTACGTTGTACCACTAAATCCTTGTTATCCAAAGCTGGAAGAAAAAGGACTTCTGAGAGGATTCAGAGGCTCTTGCTTCTTTTCACTTCCTCAGATGACAAGCAAGAAAAAGAACAAAATTGACTGTGCTTCTGTTGAGAAAAATGTAAGAGCAAAAGTGCATTAACTGTCACGATCTGAATGAAAAGGATTCTAATTTGTTATTAAAATACTGACTTAAAAGTGGTTTATGAACTCAAGAAAAACAGCCAGTAGCCCCAGGAGCCAGCATGGCAGTGATAAGAGTGAAGGGCTACACACTGGTTGGTGTCAGAAGAGCTTCCTGACAGTGCAAGGTCCCATAAAGTGCCATGGAAGATGAGCCACCTTGAGAATGTGGAATGATACTGGATGCAGCACTGGCAGACGTTCATGGAAGAGAACTGGGAAATCAGGCCTTTCAAATGAAAAGCACTTTTATTTTCATATGCAGATTAGTGCGAGTCCTGTGCCTATTCCAGAATTACAGCCAGACATCTGAACTCACTTGGCACTCAAATCAGCTCCACTGATTCACATTGTAGCTTCCAATTGCAGGAACTACAATTGCTGCAGGATCATACAGAAGTTCAGGAGAACATTAATTGCTTGCTTCAACACCCCAGTAATTGCCTTCACAAAGACAAGTTCCAGCAAAAACAGAACTGATTGCCAACAAATGTGATTACGTTTTCTGAGACAGATTGCAACGTATTGATTTTAACTGCTAACAGTGGGGTTAAGGCAAATCCATGGTTTGGATCCAAACTGCCTCTGTTCCTCCCCTTCTCACCCTGTCCTCCCGCCCCGGCCATTACATAACAGCTACCCGAAATGAGAGCAATAGTGGAGCAGATCCTAGCTTAGACTTGGTGTTCCCAAAGTGGTTGGGGACCAAGCGGTCATTACTCACATGCAACACACCGTAAGCAGAGCTGAAGCTCAGATGTGACTCTTCTACCATTAAGATATCGATCTCTCAAACATCTCCTGAAGGAACGGTGAAACGTAGAGAAGAACTTGGCTTCCCAAGTTCAAAATCATCAACGTACATCAGGCTTCTACCCAGCAGCTCTACCTCCTCGTCAGCAGTGATGTGAATAACAACTCATCTGTGTATTGGTGCCCACACCAAACCCAAGATTCAGCTGTTGCTGATGCCATCAGGCTCTGGCGCCTGCTGTGGTGTGGAGGGATGTCTATCTGTGAGGAACTTCACATCTCCCTTGGCTTGCAGGGCTTCTCACCCTCTCCACATGATGCCGCATCTTTGCTTGGGTCTCCAACTATCACTTCAGAGGCTCATCCACTGACAACCAGGGGGACGTGCAGCTGCCTTGCATGTGAGTCCCAGCCTCGAACATTGCTCCTGGTGGGAGCAGGATCTGCCTCCACCGTCTCCTCCAACCTACCTTGTTCTTCCACAGGTCTTCTCAAGCCGGGCACCGATGCTGAGGTTTGGTGGCCAGTGGTATCTGGTCTCCTGCACAGGAGAAACTGGAGAAACCTTAGGAGCAAACTCTCATTTGCAGAAATATCTGCCATGGACAGTCATAACATCTTGGAGAACTTGCCAGAGTGTTCCAACATCTCCCAAAGGGCTGCTGTGCCTGATGACGTCTTCAAGAAGAACTAGGCATGGCTAAAGCAAAAATTTCTGGGCTTCCATGGATCTTGCATGCTATCACACAAAATGCCTTGGGAACCGAAGTCAACAACAACCTCAAACCTTTGTTTTCTTCCTTAGTTCTTATTTTTTGTATCTAAAGATCTACTGAGGGAGGCTGTGAAACATCCTTTCCTTGACTGCAAAAGGGCCCTCCATTTCCAAAACAAAAGCAGCTTTTTCTGGTAACATTAAAAATATATTTAGCTACTTGATCTATGGGGATTTCCTAGGATATTTTTCTTTAAAAAATCCTTTGTGGTTTACTCTATCCATTTTTTTTCCTGAAAAGTTACGAAACAATTTGTTGTTTTCCAAGAAACAGATAAAAATATTAGCAAAGCTCTGTCTATCATTTTGGAGTTTTTGTCAGGGGAAAAAAAAAAGCCTATTTCTGTTTTGGCAATATCTGATTTTGCTGTTGTTCCATAAAGCTGTCATGAAATAAACTCTGGGACTGTGTCACTATGAAACACAAATATTAGCTTTATTAAACCCCTCAGCCCGTATTTTACACAAAGCTCAGTGAAGTTGTTCTGATGATCTGATGAAGTTGTTCTGGAGAGAGACGGTTATTTCAGAGAAAATCTTGCCTCCCTGGGATGAATTTGGCCCAGAATTATTTAACTTTTGAATCATTATTTTGCCTCTGAGTTGTGTGTGAGGATCCCTTGATGGCAGGCACAGCACAGCTGAGAAAAAAGGAAACTTCTGTTCTGTCCCAAAGCTCCCAGCTGATGTAGAGGATGGGAGATGCAAGTAGATACAGCCAGAGGGGTGGAGGAGCACTTTAAGGGACCAAGTAGGTCTAACTTTTATTAACCATCACAAACAGGGAGAGTTATAACTGGGACTAATTCTGCATCATATGTATATTCTAAGATAAGATAAGATAGTTTTTAAGTTTTGAAGTGCCCCAAGCCCCTTGCTGTCTCTGCTATCTCCAGTGAGGGCAGAAGTGAGGAAAGGACAATACTGCAATAGGAAGAGGTGATTTCAGCCTGCGAGTGGTGCTGGCTGTCCCAGAGATGCTCCGGAGAAGCAGCCGTTCCAGAGCGGGACACATGTGGGAAACGACTCAGTCTCTGAAGCTGCTCTGCAAAAAACGGGAGAAGCCCAAAGCCGTCTCAGCCAGTTCTTGGAAGAAATGGTAGGAAATGAAAATATATTTATGCCCAGGTTTTTATTTTTACCTTTCTGCATTTTGAAAGCCAGCTGCAGGCTGCCAGGCAGAGATGCCCCCCTCCTTCCCTGGTCCCACTTGCCTCCTCTTCCCGATCCTCCCCATGAGCCACCCAGTCACCTTCCCAAGGGCTCGGTGTCCTGGTGTCCACCCGGGGCCAGGGCATGTGTGGCAGCCTCTGCCCCATGCCAGGATCTCTGCCCTTTTGCAACTCTCCTCATGGCCCCTCCGTCCTTGCAGCGCTTTCTCATCCCTCCTCTTTGCAGCCCTCCCCTTCACACGCCTCCCTTTTCGCCTCCCCCTTTAGCACCTCTCACTCATTTCGTATCCCTGCGCTCTGCATCTCTGTCCCTTTGCACCTCTGCCTTCGCCCTCCCTCCCCTCCACCTCCCTCCGCTCGGCCTCTCCCCCACCTGCACCTCCATCCACTCCTTGTGCCCCCTTTGCACCCCTGTCCCGTTGCACCCCCATCCATTTGCACCCCTGTCCCGTTGCGCTCTCTAACCTTTTCACTTCTGTCCCTTCTTACCCCCGTCCCATTGCAGCCCCGTCCCTTTGCCTCGCTACCGCTCTGCCGCTCGCCTCATTGCACCCCCGTCCTTTTGTACCTTGTCCTTTTGCACTCCCGTCCCGCTGCACGCCCGCCCCGTTGCACCCCGTCCTGTTGCAACCCGTCCCTTCCCCGTCCCGTTGCACCTCCATCCCGTTGTACCTCGCGTCCCGTTGCACCCTTTCCCTCTGCACTCCCACCCCATTGCACCCTGTCCTGTTGCAACCCCGTCCCTTCCCCGTCCCGTTGCACCTCCATCCCGTTGCATTCGCGTCCTGTTGCACCCTCTCCCGCTGCCCTCTCATCCCTTTGTAGCACCGTCCCTTCCCTGTCCCTTTGCACCTCCATCCCGTCGCACCTCGTCCCGCTGCATCCGCGTCCCCCTGCACCCTCTCC